ATGTGTGTGGTTCCCCAGACCGTAGGTTAACACGCTGTAGAGAGTGATATCGTAAATAGTTTGAGAAGCAAAACACATATATAATCACCTCTACGTTTTAGCATGCTAGCCGGAAAACCATCTGGTCCATCACTGTAGCTGTGTTTTAATGTAGTAATTGCATTAGAGATATTTTGTACATTGAAATCTACATTAGTAATTTCAATTTTAGAATTAGGTCTATTATTAGAACAGTACTAATAACGAAGTAGACCATAATGGACAGATATACAAGCATTCCTGATCGTAAGGGGAAGGTTGATGTTATATGCCTTTACTTCTGAAAATCTTTTGTTATATATTTGTCATATATTTTCCATCAATAAGCTCAAACTTTTAGGCAAATCACTATTAACGGACTATCTCGCATCATCATCCTATCTCTATAATAGACATTTTAAGGTCATGGTTAACTTCACTTTCACAGACTACAGAATGTATTCGTAGTGTCCTACAAGATTTCTTATTTTCTTAATTTATATAAATAACCGTTCTCAGCAAGAATTGTTTGGTTTGTTAGTTTTCGTTGACGATGCGAAACCTTGGAAAACGTTTTCGGCCGAGATGATAAGCCGGTACTTCAGAAGGATCTGACGTGACTTCGAAGTTGAGTGGATAACAACTGACTCACTTTTAGCACTACAAGGAGTAAAGTGGTCTATCTGAGACATATTGCAAACCACGCACAAACTAAGGTGACTGTCGCTTAAAGTTATCTCAAGTTGAAAGAGATTTAGGGGTGTCGGTAATCTATGATCCGAAGTCTAACGCTAAATGGGACAAAAATGGACTCCAAAAAACCTCAAACTGGGAAAGTCAAGGCGCATTTTTGGCCAGTTCGACAGAAGAACTTTCCACTTAATCTTCAAAGTCTTATTTCACCCCATTTAAACCTTTCAAATATCGTGTTTCCTCCCTCACTCCAAAGGAATTAGAATACTCTGGCACATATCCAACGGTGAGCTACGAACTTAGTTCGAGAACTGAAATTCAAACCTTGTAAAAAGCACCTCAAGCCATTGAACCTATACCCATCACAATATAGGCATCTCATTGGTGACCTTTTAATAATCTACAACACTATGAACACTCCTAAAAATCCCCTTAAATACCCACCTATGCTCACTTCTAACATAAATCTTAAAGGTAACACCTAGACACTGGAGACACATCAAAGCAGAACGGACTGAGTACACACCTCCTATTCCTTAAAAGTAGCCATATTCTATAGTTCGCTGCTGGTCGATCTCGTTCGTGTGACTTCCCATGAGTCCTCCGAACATAAAACGTGACATTTTCTCAAGGACTCAGGAGAGCATTTCAATGAAACTTACCAATATTTCCATTTTTATAATAAAATGTTTCCAGATTCTTACCTGGGGTAATAGATGATCTACTGCTACTAGATATGAAGGCCTGTTAAGTGAAAATTTCCTCTATTCCACCCAGAACCGTCCGAATCATTTAAATTTTATTTTTATTCACTTGTTTCTCTAAAATACATTATTAAGAAATCTTAAAATACTAGATGACAAATTGTCCAACGCAGAAATATGTTCGAAACGACAACTTTTCCGTTATTTTTACTTAACACAGCTTTACTCGAGGTAGCGCTACAGCACATTTCCTGGTATCTTCCTAGTACTTTTAACACTTCGAAGCGAAATGTTGCAGATTACAGCTACAACTTAGGAAACTTCTCTCTACAAGTATCCCAAGTCGAAGAAGATTTAGGAGTCCTGATACCCTATGATTTGAGGTCGTACACTAACTGTGAGAAAAATGCCTTTCGAGCAAACCTTGCACTGGTAGCATTGAAGGGCATTTTTGGCCAGTTTGACGGAAGAACTTTCCATATTATCTTCAATAGTTTTATTCGTCTCCATTTAGAGTACGGAAACATAGTATTTCCTCCCTCACTCCAAAAGGATAAGGACACTCTGGAACGTATCCAACAACGAGCCGCGAAATCAGTCAGGGACTAAAATTCAAGCCTTACGAAGAACGCCCCCAATCACTCAACCTTTACCCACTAGAATGTAGGCGTCTTAGAGGTGACCTAATGGCTTGCAGTATCCTTAACACTTCTTGACATATCCTTAAACACCTACTTAAGTTTAGTCACAATACAAACCTAAGGGGTAACACTCAGGAACTGTAGACACAACTTCTACACCTTAAGAGTTGTCAAATGCTGGAGTTCGCTGCCGACTGAGCTAGTCCAAGCGACTTACCAGGAGTTATTTAATAGGCAACTTGACCTGTTCTTAAGGACTAAGGATAACATCTTGTTATGATTTACCAATTTCTTTTATCCATGTATTATCGTTAATATACCTAGGTTTCTGCCTGGAGGTATTGATGAACAACTGCTACCAGACGTGGAAGACCGTTAAGCGAAAGCTTCTTCTATTCCGTCCACAGCCATTTGAACGATTTGAACCATTTAGTATTATTGACCTACAACCTAACCGACAACTCAACTGAAGCTCGGTTCTTCAACCTCATCGATAACTTGGGCTTATATGAAAATGTGAGGTCGGCAACTCGTTGGAGAAACAGTCAGACACCATCGCGCTTAGACTGTGTATTCACTAACGAAGAATTCCTAGTCGACAACCTCTCAATCCTGGCTCCTCTGGGAAAGAGCGATCATGCCGTCATAGCCTTCAGTTTTGTCATCAAAACTAAGCTAAGGTATCCCAACAATAATTTGCGTTGGAATTTTAAACGGCTGAATGTGCCAGCTCTACATGACTATCTACAACAGGTGGTTTGGGATGTTCACCCTCAACTCGATGTGGATGGTCATTGGGACTTCTTACTGCACACGCTCTTATGTGCTACAGACCATTCAGTTCCTCAAACGGTTCCCAAAAGCTGCAAGCCACCTACAGTAATCAAGAACCGTACCCTTCGCCTGCTAAGCCGCAAAAGACACTGTTGGGCGGAATATAAACGGACTAATAACGATGGAGCGTATAGGCAATATAAACATATCAGGAACATATGCACGAAGGCTATAAGAGAAGACAGGCTTCAGTACCAAACAAACCTTATGGACAAATTCGCCTCTAACCCTAGAAGCCTATTCCGTTATGCAGCCTCTTTTCGTCAAGCCAAAACAGGAGTTTCTCAACTGCTAGGTCTTAACGGCCCGACCAACAATGATGGCGACGCCGCTAACCTTCTGGCGGCACATTACTCTCAAACATTTCAACCGGCTGACATCAACTTTATTGACGACAGTTTCATCTGCAATTCCACAGGACTTTCTGAAGTGAACCTAAGCGCTGACTTGGTGTTCCGGAAACTGCAGCACTTAAGACTTGACACTTCTCCTGGTCCGGATATGGTTCATCCTGCCATACTGAGGGAGGCAGCCTCAATCCTGGCAACGCCGCTTAGCGTGATGTTTTCAAACTCGCTTAGAAGAGGCAAATTACCGGAAAATTGGAAGTTGGCTCACATCACACCAATTTTCAAAGGTGGTCGACGCAATGAACCTTCAAGTTATCGGCCGGTGGCTCTTCTGTCATTACCTTCAAAACTCATGGAGTCCCTGCTATGCGACGGTTTAAACGATTATCTACTGTCCTTAAATTTCTTCTCACCCCAACAGCATGGTTTCAGGAAGGGTTACTCTTGTATAACCAACCTGCTGACTGCGGTGGACAGATGGACAAGCATCCTCGATTGCAAGGGAAAGGTTGATGTCATTTACCTTGATTTCTCAAAAGCTTTTGATAAGGTTAACCACTTGTGTCTTATCAACAAGCTCAAACGACTAGGTATCGAACCACCTCTAATCGACTGGCTTACTTCATACCTAAAAAATCGACACTTTAAGGTTAGGGTTAATTTCACTTTATCTCAGGCTATGGAATGTCCTAGTGGGGTCCCCCAGGGCTCAGTACTAGGGCCTCTTCTCTTCTTGATCTACATAAATGATCTTCCTCAACAGGTAACGTCAGACTTATTACTTTTTGCCGACGACGTGAAACTTTGGAGAGAGATACGCAACCAAGACGATACACAGGCACTTCAGGAGGATCTGACGCGACTTCAAAGTTGGGCAGACGATAACGGACTTACCTTTAACACTTCAAAGTGTAAAGTAGTCCATCTGCGACATGTCGCAAACTACAGTTACAACTTAGGAAACTCCTCTCTAGTAGTATCCCAGGTCGAAAAAGATTTAGGAGTCCTGGTGCCCCATGATTTAAAGTCTTACACTAACTGTGAGAAAAATGCCTTCCTAGCAAACCTTGCACTGGTAACGTTGAGGCGCATTTTTGGCCAGTTTGACGGAAGAACTTTCCATATAATCTTCAATAGTTTCATCCGTCCCCATTTAGAGTACGGAAACATAGTATTTCCTCCCTCACTCCAAAAGGACAAGGTCACTTTGGAGCGTATCCAACGGCGAGCCACGAAATCAGTTCGAGGACTCAAATATAAGCCTTACGAAGAACGCCTCCGTTCACTAGACCTTTACCCACTAGAATATAGGCGTCTTAGAGGTGATTTATTAATGGCTTATAGTATTCTTAACACTTCTGGACATCCTCTTAAACACCTACTTAAGCTTAGTTCGAATAATAACCTAAGGGGTAACACCCAGAAACTGGAAACACAACATAGCAAGACGGAATGTAGACACAACTTCTACTCCTTAAGAGTTGTCAAAAGCTGGAACTCGCTGCCGGCCGAGCTAGTCCAAGCGACTTCTCAGGAGTCCTTCAAGAGGCAACTTGACCTATTCTTAAGGACCAAGGACAGCATCACACTATGATTTACCAATTTCTTTTCCTCTTTTATTGTTAACATACCTAGGTTCCTGCCTGGAGGATTTGGTGATCCCCTGCTACTAGACACGGAAGCCTGTTAGGCGAAAGCTTCTTCTATTCCGTCCACAACCATTTGAACCATTTGACCTACAAAATGAAGCGCCAAGTGTGATGTTTGTGCCTCAGATGGACCAGTCGGAGACGTCTGATATACATTTAAAGTTACTATTAATAGGCGATATGAGTAAGCAACATAACTGTTTCTGTAATTGCATCGCTTGTAATTTTTTTCATTCAAACTGCACCAATTTTTCACCTCAAACTGGTTGCAGCTTGATTTCTTGTCCTTACCGTAGAATTTCCTGTTTATTTCACGTTATAATTATTGGTACCACTTCTGGACACTACTAAAATTGCGGTTTATCTCTTTGTTGGTGGTTTTATGCAGTAGTCGTAGCCCGTTTAATATAGAAAATCTGAAGTTGGAGCAGGTTCGTAATATGGTGAACTGTAACTTTGATATAGGTACCGACAGTGGGTTCAAACTCTTCTATATCTTCTAATTTAAATAGTGAGTTCATTAGCTGACATGTGTAAACTCATTTCGTTTTACAAAACACGAGAGGATGGGTGAACTGCTCTATTTTTGGGAATGATGATCTCTCAGTCGATCTAGATTTCTTTTGAGTGCGTCAGCAGATGCAACTTCATTCACTTGTTGGGATAACGAGTTTCATTCGTTGGTAATTTGACAGAAAAGTCGATGGTCAGCTGACTAGTAATTCAGGTCAGACTATCATTTCTGGACGACTTTTAAACATTCCTAGAGTGACCTCATAAAAATAAGGTGCATACTTGATATATGTCAGGTGCGAATTTATCATCAAGTAATCTAAAAACTGTGATCAGATCGGCTCTGGTCCTTCTATAAAATGATAAGCGAAATAAATTTAGTTTGACCGATCTCGTCATACGGCAGCTTTATTATTCCGAAAATCAACTTAGTTGCTGTTTCGGTGAAACTCTACTTTATGGACGACCTTTGAACGAATTTTTAAGTGACCTTGAGAGCATTAGCCAATCAGAAAAGAGTTAGTATAAAGTAAAAATATATTATAAAAAAGTAATGAATTACAATGGATATTCTTCTTTTACATGATTTAAGAACTTGTTGAGGTTTGATAAAGGTTCAGAAGTTTTGAGATCATAGTGCATGCGGTATAAGAACTCGTCCATATGACTCCGTAATAATCGTCCTCTGGAGCCGTGGTAGGGTCTTTAGAAATACTTCAGCCTAAACCACACGCCCTCAATGTTGTTTGTATGGACCCCCGTCGTTGGATCAACAAAATGACGTTTGTGCACCACAACATGATGCATAAAACCAAGTCTGGAGAGGCATCTATACACTTTCCAATCATCGGTATAGCCGCAGCTAATGTTACTTGAGACTTTATGATCCAATTTGCAACGATTATCATGGTTTGTCTTAGCCTTAGCCGTGACCGGTTAAAAAAGTGCCAGTTCAAGCTGATTTTTTTCTCCAACATATAGTACAACGACATACAATGTCATCGTGGCAGTCTGCACATCGTGCTGCGGTCATTTAATTGCCGCAGTCACAGACACAGGAACTTCTTAACAGTGCCATCTGCTGTAGTCTCTCAACGATCACCTATTCTCTAAAATCTGCCGTAAAACGATCGAATGTGAGCATCTTGCACTGAACTTACCGCCGTGACCTTGAAATTCCTTAAACGCTTCTGATTGGCTCGTCCATAAATTAGAGTCCTACCGCTGTTTCTTGAACCTTTTCCAACAACTTACTGCATCTTTTGACATTGGCTGGCTGCCCGTATGCGATACTCGCGTATAGGGAGAACAAATACTGTACTAAAAGTTGGAAGAGTTTTATCAGCTACGTAGCTAGGAGCCCTACGTACTGACCAGATGGTTTTTAAATCTTTGGTAGTCAACGCACAGCCATGTGCAGTAGTCTTCAATTCTTGGCTAATAATCACTCCTAGACCAGTATTTGTCTGGACAACGGATAGTTCAGTGTTATTCACCGTGTATTTATCTGTACCTCGGTGAGCAATATGCATCATAATGCATTTGGAAGTATTTATTGGCCATTGTCAAATTCTAAACCACTCAAACAACTTCAAGTCATTATGAAGCTCTAAACTTTATTTTTTGTCACTCTCCATGTCTTGATATTATCAGCAGATAGCAAAACCGGTGATGATAAGAGACTAGAAAGGTCATTTATACAAGAAGAATAACAACAAAGGTTCTTACTCTCTTTAAAATAATAAAGGGAACTATGTGTATGAAAGAAGAATAACATTGGTTCGCAAAATCATACCCTTATTCACTCCGCTAAACACAGTTTTCCATCCAGACAAGTTAGAGATAATCTGTGCTCTCTTTTGTCTCCTAACTAGGAAGTCGTTTGTCTTGTGGTACTCATCCACACCACTAGCTAGTCTGTTGGGATTTTTGTCTGTTACTTGAGCAGTTATTTTTTGTAACAATGCCTCAGGCGCTTTTCTTTTTCTAATTAGCATTCTTGAAATCATGCTGTTTTACCATTATATTTGTTGAGTATTTTAGTAATCATGTGGTGGAATTTTACTTAACTAATAAGTGCATGATTTTTGGTTCTAGGGTGCATCATTTCGATCTGGTATTCGTTTAAGTGTAGATAATGACAAGTTTGATTCATCATAGCGTTCGTTTTTTATTTCGAATAATTTCTACATCTGGATAATGTGCTTGTTTAATACGAAGACCTTAAATTAAGTCTCATAACGTAGTGAGTCATTGTTCTGAGTACCAGGTTCTGGAAATGTCTCATACATTTTACTTTCAGTAACTAGATATCATGTCTGCCCTACACAGTGTCACTCGAATTTCATCTTCAACAAGGCCAATTATTGTCACAAGATTTTGACATAAATATAATTAACTCATTCACCGGGTACTTGGGTATGAGCCGCACTTTGATTCTGATATCTAATGATACTACCTGGTCGCCCAAAGTGAAGTAGGTGAAGTATGGGTTTGAACCTGGAACCTTTTGGCTAAGATGTTCATTCGTCAAAACCGCACAAATATCCTAAGTAACATGTGTCAATAGGAATGTGTGTATATGTTCATGTCGAGACTTTTGATAGTCACAACTTGTTTGAAATAGAAATTAGCGATTATAGTGAATTAATGAAATCAAGACGACAGATTATTTGCCGAATAAAGGGTTGTTTTCGCTGGAGGTATGAGTTTTCATTAGTTGTCATATCTTTTCCTCGTCAATTTTATCAGACATTGAGTTGTCACTTTCTAGCTTTTTCTCACGATATATGCTGATAATTTCCCCAAACAATCTCAAAAACATCAATCCGGTTTCATAGTAATCTCAGTTGTGTAAAGAATATACCCTTCATATACATTTCAGCTCATAATAATATCAATACTAGGGAAATTAATATTTTGCCATTAATAGAAAGCATCGTCGCTGCATCTTTTTTATTGAAATTCTTAGTCCCAGTGTGGCATTAACTACTCCGGTTACTCCAAACTCAATGCGTTATTTGTTCTGCCTCTTTTCGCTTCAGCATTCCGGGTTGGGGGTTGCCTCGTGATGCAGTCTCGTGATTTCCTCAGTGTATCTTATCCACTTCCATCGTCTTTTCCTAATTTCCTCTCCAAGTAAAAGTTGATTTATTCTCTCCCACAGTAGGCTGTTGCTGATGGTATCCATCCAACGGACATCGATTATCTTGCGTAGACAATTGTTTATAAATATTTGTACCTTTCTGATGATGGTTGTAGTAGTTGTCCAAGTTTCAGCTGCATGCAGTAGGACTGTCTTGACGTTCGCATTGGAGATTCTGACTTTGATGTTGACTGAAAGTTGTTTTGAGTTTCAGACATTTTTCAAATGTCCTCACATGTGCGTCAGATCATTCTTGTTTAACGATTATGTTGCCCAGGTACGTAAGACATTCCACCTTTTCCAGAGTTTCTCCATCAAGTGTGGTTGGGTTAGTGCTCTCTGTATTGCATTTCAGGATCGTTCTTTTTCCTTGTGTATTTCGAGGCCTACTGCTCTCAAGATTGCTGCTACACTGACTGACTGTCATCGCCTGCATTTGCTGGTGTGTATGCGATAGAAGAGCTAGGTTATCTGTAAAGTCCAAATCACCTAGCCGTATCCATTCTGCCCATTGTATTCTGTTGTTCCTTTGAGATGTGAAAGCCTTCATGATCTAGTCTTCACAAACCAGAGAAACAAAAAGGGAGTTAGTAAACAGCCTTGTCTAACACCGATCTTTATTTGGATTGCATCTGTCAGCTGTCCTCCATGCACGAATTTGCAGTGTAGTCCGTCGTATGGATTCCAGATTATGTTGACGGTCTTGTCAGGTAAATCATGCACGACTTTGCTGTTGTTGATTGCCGTCTTCTTGTTTTTCCTTTTTTGAACCTTGTCCAGGGTATCGATAGAGTTTCACTTTTTATGATGGTGCTTCTTGCGGCCTGTCACCTTGTGGCACGTTGAAGTTGGCGTGTTTTAATCCCTTCCTAGTTCTCCATCGTAGTTCCCCCCTCTTTGAGTAGATCTCGTAAGACTGGGAACCCGCTGATGAGGCCTATCTTGAATTCGTAGAGTTTGTCAGAATCTCGAAGGAAGGTTGTATTAAAGTTTTGTAGTGCTGTTTCTCCAGTTGTCCAGTGCTTCTTCAGATGTAGTTTCACCTTGGCCACAATCAACTGATGATCTGAAGTTATGTCAATTCCTCCCGATGTTCTCACGTCTTCCATAGATCTGAATTTTTTATTGATACGAATATGATCTATCTGGTTCTCTGTAGAGTGATTCGGTGAAACTCATGTAGTATCGTGTATGGGTTTGTGGGGGAATATGGCGACACCTATGGACATTTTGTTGAATGGCCGCGAATTCGCGAATCCTTCACCATTCTCGCTCGTTCCTCTCAGTCAGTCCATGTCGTCCCGTGATATTTTGATAACCAGTGATGTCCATCCGGACTTTGGTATCTAGGTCTCCCATGATGTTGACGGTCAAGTCATTTCCGGTCACCTCTCTACAATCGACTGCCACCTCTCATAAAACTGGTTATCGTGTCCATAGCTTTCACCATGAGGCGTCATGACTCTTCTAAATGAGTATTTTTGAACTAGTGCGGCAGAGATTAAGTGACTTTTTCTGGTTAGCGTCTTTTTCAGCAAGGTTGTTTCTTATCGGTTGGGGTTGCTGACCTCGTGCCCGGCATTCCTAGTTTATCCGATCTTGGGACCTTCAATAACTTTGGAAGAGCTACAAGCAGAGTAGTATGTTGGTTTGATTCTGCGTGTACTCACCATATAAAAATATATGGTATTATTTCAGATTTCAGAAAGTAGCGCAACAAATCGGTCAGTATTCAGTCTGTTTATGCAATTTTTTCATTAAATTATATTAATGCTCCTTCGATATTGTTCTTTAGGTTTTTTTTAGATTTTCGTACTACAGTTTTAACTAACAAAATTTGCAGTTGTAAAATTAACTTTCATTCGATGGGACTTGGGATAGAGTTTCTTATGTTGTCGATTCTTTTTAGGTAAAACAATCTAGTGTAAATAGCTACATATTTTTGTTTATTTATTTAATTGGCATCAAATGTGGTACAACTGGCGAAAAAGGCTTGTATGACTTACACAAAATAGAATTTATGTGTAGACTGGGATGCTGCTCGAGCACCCGTACCGAAGGAGTTCAAAGTAACTTCGAATTTCGGTAGATTTGTTTGGGTAAAATGCAATGTGGATGCATGGATAATGGTTCTTAATAACTACTAACATTGATGAGGATTCACCTCGACGTTTTCTCCCCAACCAAATTATTCAGTTCGTCTGATACAGTTTCACTTGTTTTTCTGTAGATGTTGGGAAAAGCAGCCTTCTCTTCCGGTACATCGATGACGGTTTCAGTGATACCTATATGAGTACAATTGGAGTAGACTTTAAAGTAAAAACAGTCATGATTGGCAATACAAGAGTAAAGCTACAAATTTGGGATACAGCTGGACAGGAGAGATTTCGTACTATAACATCAACGTATAATTTTATTTATAATTAATATTTTGATAAAAATTATCAGATATTATCGTGGTGCTCATGGAATTATCATTGTATATGATGTCAATGATGTGAAAACATTTTGTAATGTAGAAAAATGGGTAAAAGAGGCACAAACTTACGCTGATGAAGGAGTAGCACGAATACTAGGTGAGGAGTGCTTTTCTAGCCATTTACATCATAGTCTAATTCATTTTCTAGTCGTTTCTTACAGTTTAGGGACAGTATTACAGCTTCTTCACTGGTAAACTGACGGATATAAATTATATACAGATTTGTTAGCTTTCTAATCTTTATTAAGCTATCATGAAGATGAAATGTTCGTGACAATAATAAATTAATAGCCATCTTTGCTACCTACCTTATGTTGTTTGTATTCGGCGACCGTGTTTTACACCTCTGTCATAAGACAGGATAGATTTCTACGTTGTTAACTTAGTCATTGATGAGTAAACAGATGCTTCACTAGTGTTAGTTGAACCTTGTTATCGACTTCATGACTTAATCATAGATCAGTTGGTCAGGTCTTCTGTGATTATTAAAACTGTAAATGTCCATATCTTTTCAGTAAACTTTTATAACAGACATGCTTCTAGAGATGACTCGTCGTCTGAAATTTCGGCGGTTGGTCCCATGGAATCGGAGGCCGTAAACGTTACAGTTCTTTTTGATGAAGAAGCTGACAACATTCAGAATCATTCGACTGAGTTGAATCGAAAACAGTTTTCGGATGGATTCCTTTTCTTCAGGATTAAAATTGTTGCTTAAGGACCAGTTTGCATCAATGCCTGATCTGACCATAAGAGGGGAAGGAACTGACCACCTTGGCCACTGTACATATGTGTAACACATGTGTCATCCACCACCTAATATAGAGTGGGACAATGGCTAGTATTGGAGAAAGGACGGAGCTGGTCAAGTGTAAACAAATTATCAGTTCATTAGGCCATTGAATATCCGACTAAGTTTTGTTGAGTGGTAGAAACTTAGTTATGATCCATGCTAAAACCGCATTTAGTATTTAAAGATTTCAGGTGATATAGGTCAAAATTAGTCATTGTGGTGCATATATCTCCATTTTTTACTCCTTTTAAAGTCTTAAGTTTCAGGACTATTTCGTTTTATGCCTCTCCATTGCGTTCGTTCTTGCAGAACTATATTCCCTGCGTAATTTTTTAAATATAATAAGCACTACTGGTTTAACTTCTTTAATTCTCACTCTGTTACCTTCCTCTCAATGCGCTAACATGAAATATAGCAACTTCGATCCATGAATATTCGCTATATGTCCTACATTGTTTGTGACCAAAGGATTTCTGTTGTGGAATTATTTACTACAACCACCCTTGTGGGATACTCTAGCAACATTTGGTTTATTGAAGTTGGTATAGCCACATCATATACAACATTTAGCCATAGGTAACGAGACTAATAGAAAATAAGACTATATGTAAGTAAAATATAAATTTATCAAGAATATTTTCAAATTTTGAAAACCATAAAACGTTTAATATTTTAAACCTAAAATTTCAAAAGATATTCATCTATACTTTGTTTTATTTTTACGTGAACTCATATAAAAAGTCTTCAACAACCTATTTCATATTGTCAGATTGGTTGAGTTCCCTCCAATGCAATAGTCTAACCAACGTCATCGTTCATCTTCGCTTTGATTTTCTCCATTCATGTTCTTTTTTTATTTCGTCACCAAATCTATTGACGCCTATGCCTTTTATCTGAATACTAAATTCATGGTTTACTTTCGCATTACGTAATCATTGTCACTTGTTGCATTAATATATTTTTATTATTAAGGAAATGTGATATACGTACAACTTGAAAATGATATCTCTAAATGGCAGAATATGTTCACTACAGTTTATTTTATTTCTTTATACTTGATTGAACTTGTTTGTAATAATTTTGTGCAACTCGTTTCTCACATTAAAAATCTATAAATAACTGTACAATGCGTTCTTTTGTAATTATTCCCTTCGTTTTTTTTTCAAAAAAACATTTTAATAGTCGGTAATAAAAACGAAAGTGAAGAATTAAAAACTGTAGCCACTTGTGATGCTCAACGTTTAGCAGCTAAAAATTCATGTCTTTTTATTGAAACATCTGCTAAAAATGATGAAAATGTTGATCAGGTAATGTTGCAATTTATATTTCTTAAAATTTTATGAGATATGGTTGGTTTATGTATTTCTCAAGTTTTTATTATTATTTTTATAATACCATGGTTATTTTAAGATTTAAGAAGTTTATATAATATTCAGCTCTTTTAACTAAGTAGTACAGCTTACGGAAATGTATTTTCGATATCATCATGGCGAATTACAAATATACTCTACTTTCTTCACAAATACCATCTTTATTTTAAAATATTTGGAAAATTTGTATATGTTTTTCAATAAAACATTGAAGTTAACTGTTGTTTACAATTTTGTACATTGCATAGAAATAAGTATTTCATCATAATGAAATCAATGCATTATTGTCTCAGTTTATATTGATTAATCATATGATACAATCTATACAATGAATAAATTCAGTGGGTACATGTGTTTGGCAAAAACAGAAGTTGAATTGTCTAAAATTTGTATAGATTCCTAGTTTTTCTAGGAAAAAAAACGTACTTATGTTTGTATTAAGTTATTTTTACACATTTGAGGTTTGCTTTTGTTTTCCATTTTCAAAAAAGAAGTAGAAATAATCACAAGGTGATGAATTAATGATAGTTTTTGTCGTGAGATCTATCCTCTGAATAACTTCCCACACGTAATGATCTAAGAATAAATTCATGTCAAACTACTTGAAATTGTTATGTGAAATCTGTTTTTAAGTGACAAAACCGTTCAAGTTGAAAAGGTATGCCAAACAGTCTAAAGGTCAAAATATACACGTTTATATTTTAATTCCATGACACGACGGTATCGTGTTTGTCAAATTAATAGAGAGATATGTTGTTGTAGTAGGTTGAAGATAATCGATAACAGTATCTTTGTAGATGCATATGTCGATTTTACTTGATTATATTCTTCAGAAATTTTTGTACATTCCAAAATGAGATTGAGGCATGTGTTTTAATTCCACTCCACCGATAATCGGAGTGTTGGTGGAATAGATTGCACAAGTCAGCTGTTAATTGACAAGTTACATTGTTTATTATCATTACTTCTGTTCAATACTACTTTTTTGGTGCTATTGATTAGTGTAACAACTTTGACTGGTTCCGAAATTTGAATTATGTAGATAGAGAAGCAAACATACTGATCGCTGTTATTTATACTTTGTTGTGTAATGCTATTTCTTCGAAGATGTCACAGCAGATCATTTTGCTGTCCATTGAGAAGTTTACCATTCAGTGTCATTTAAAGCATGTGCGATAAGTAGAAATAGTAGTGATATTGAATGTAATATAAGAACTTGTAATTCCCAGCTCTATCAAATACGTACTGTATTAGTCATAAATGAAGCAGGATATGAAAGGAACAAAAAGTCTATGCACACTTGAATGCATCGTATTCAAATTCGAATCAAGCGCAAAAATTGAACGAAAAATTACCACAATATGCAGATATCACAGTACGATCGATAGTTTCTGAAACTTTCCTTACAGAATTTTACCAAATTAAAATCTGTTATGTCCTACAACCGACCGATATGAGTAGATGACATTGAGCAACCAATACTTAACAAGGACGAGGGAGGCATACTCTATGCTTGACCGTTGGATGAATACTGACCGGCCCCGAACGAAGGAAAAAACACGAAACCAATAATCACCAGTTCAAGATCGTTATTACATTTTAGACATGCATTTCTATGCATACAAGACTAGACCACGCAGCAGATCAACTGAGTAACAGTATTAACTCAGAGCAACAACATTAGTGATGAGAAAAACGGAGTACTGGGTACAAAAATAATCAGTTGTAGTTTATGAGTGAAAAATGCTATAACAATTTACGGTTCAAATAACAGCTTGGAACTAGAGGGTATCCATTCATAATTTCGACCATCAAAAAGGCATGGATTACTAAGGACGACTATCAAAAGATCGTCTATTAATAAAGGTGGTCAGTGTAAAAGGAAATAATATTTTTAACTGTGTAAAATATTCACTTGATATTGTTTTATTTGAATCTTCCCATTGATGTTTTTTGACTGAAATTGATCAGTCTCTTATTGGCATATGTGCATACTGTGCGTATGCCTCGATATTGTCTTAATTTACAAGCATTATAAGCAAAGATGGATAGTGGCTAGCAGTGGAATCCAGGACGCGCGTTTCGTCCTGTACATCCAGCTGACGAGTCCCAAACAGGACCAAACGCGCGTCCTGGATTCCACTGCTAGCCACTGTGTGAAATATGTTCGCTTTACTCTCTATCTCTTTGCCTTACGACCGTTTAAAAACGTATTTTCCTGAACGTATGACGAAGAGTCTACTTTCAACAAGCATTGATAAATACTGTAATTTCCCGAATTAGGTAACAAATTGTTATTACCCTAGTTGTATCATGCCGTACATCTATTTCGAACAGCTATTGAAGGGAATGTTTCTTGTGCTGGATTCCCTACGAACCCGTAGTTTGTTAGACAGTTTCAGGTGACTGAAAATGTAAAAGTCATAGACTTAATTACGACTAGATATTTGTTATAAAATGCACTAATATATGGTATAAATGTATAACTATTTGTCTTGAATAAAATAATTGATTTGCTTTCAAAATGAGACAATTGTATGTAAGGTACAACACAAAAAACATCACTTTTAATAAGTTATATCCCAACGAACATATTTCACACAGTTGAAATTGTTATTCCATTTTTCACTGATCACCTTTATTGATCTTCACCCTTTCGACGGGCCCTTATTGCCTGCGGTCTTTCGCTTGCGCCCTTATTAGTGTAAACCTCATGGTTAAATCGTTTCTTACAAATAAGTCGTTTTAAAAGAAGTGTTCTTAATTTTTCACGTTGTTATTGTTCATTAAATACTCATTTATCTGTTAACTTGTCGAATTTATTTCATTTGTGGTTAAAAAGTGTGTTTACGTGAATACTATCATGACTTGATATCGAGTGGAGAATAAATAAATAGTCAACATTAAACATCTGTTTCATTTTGGCTTAATACGCTTCAATGGTGTACGCTCCCAGCTTTCATGTTAAGCACAATTCATTTAAGCCATTAAATTAATATTTAATGGTTTGAACGTTTTCCACGTCATTTTGTATACGTCAAACTTAGTTCCACCTATTTCGCTTTGGGAAGCCGAATATTGTTATTAGCTCTCACACTTGGAAATTAGCTCACATCGAAGCACCTAGTGAATTTAATTAAATTTCATTTTAATTAATAAATTACTAGTTCCGTGTAAAAAAATTTACTTTTTTCAACTTTGTCCCTGTTTTACAGATGTTTTACATTATTACAAGAGAAGCTTTACGTTTACGATTAAATGCTGTACAAAAACAACAAGAAGCTCAACAGACCGTAGTTCAACTGACACCTATCTCCGGATTAAAATCAAAGCATAAACCGAAATGCTGTAAAGGATAACTTTTTCTATCTATATATGTCTTTCTTTCTAATCAAATAATTTGTTTATTGTTATTCACTTATCTATTATCATGATCCAGTTGTATTGAGACAGAAAATACCGCTGTTACAACAATACCTGCCGCTACTACTCACACTACTACTATCTCAATTTATTCAGTATTATTTTTTGTATAAAAAAAATTAAAACTGGATGAACATGTAGGTGAGTGAGTGTGAACGGTAAGTGCTGTCGAAAGAATGATATCTACTGTTCTATTTTTTTCTGTCTCTTTCACTAATTTTTTTTTCATTACAAAGTTGTTGTCCTCGATGAACGTGAATCTCAGACTATTGTATGCGTCAATTCCTGCTGATGGCAGGAAAACTCAAGCATAACAATACTTTTCTTTGGTTATTTCGTGCTTTTTTTAACAAATTTATTTTGTAATTTTTTTTCCTTTTAATTCAATGATTTTTATATGATTATTAAAATTAACAATTTATTGCTCAATAATTCAAATTCATTCGTTACATAAAAGTATATTTATATGAGTATCACAGTATATGTCCATTGTTAGAGATAATTACGGAATAATTAGTCGACGATTATTTAACAAATGATTATTTTATTAATAGTTCTAGTGCATTTTTGTTCTGTTGTTAAGCTGTTATGATGATGATGGTGTTGGTTAGTGAGGATGATATTTAAGGAGAACAAAGCAAATCGACTAATCTTTATTTCATGTATAGACTGTTCTGTATTATTATTATTATTATTATTATTATTATTATTATTATTGGTATGCATGCTATGATTTAGTATATATTTCCTTCTTTTCTATGGAATTTAATTGAACCGATGATTTTGTTTTGTTAGTTAATAATCTATTCTGCTGATGCCTTTCATTGTTTTTTTAAAAATATCTATTTATGAAAAAAGACCATTTATTTACATAATGAAAATGATTTATTATTTGTTATATAATTTCAATATATTACGATATTCATTTGTATTTACTGTTCTTGATTAAAGCGAACGGACAAGCATTGAAAAAGTATCAGTTATACTCTTTATATGTATACTAATGTATTTGTGTAAAGTTTATGGGTCAAAGTTAATAGTATTTTCTGAATGTTATACATCGGATGTATAATTAAGTAAGGAAATTGTTCCTTCTAAAATTGAAGAAAATAATGAGTTTATAGTTTGTATATTATGATCAGGATATCAGTTTTGCGTAATTTTAACTTCATTTTTGTAACACTTGATCATCAAGATTATAATGAATTGTCACTACTGGTGTTTATAGATGATTGTGATAAATAATTTAAACACTTTTCGCAGTTGAATCAGTTTCATAACTGATAAAATTGACTCATATTTAATTCCAACCATACTGTTAGCGGGACATAGACTGGATTAAAGCATGCTCAATGCACGATTGCTTTGGTGCACGCTGATTGGCTGATTCTTATCCAATCAGCACTAGTCGATAGTTGGAGAATACTCTAGAATCTTCTCATGTAAAAACTATAAATATACTAACGTTTCCTCTATTGTGCATCTTACTTCCATCTAACCTTATTATTTGGAATATAATCTCTTTCCTGTTCAACCGTGTTCTGATTTGGGGACTTGTCGAGTGAATCGGTGTCCGAGAATACTAAGCAATAGGGATAGCTGGGTCATAACCGTAAGAAAGAGATTATAACACATACTATCAGCTAATATGAATTCGTAATCTATAAAGAATTAGGCAAATCGACACAAGAACTCGAAAGATAGAATAAATGGTTCATTGTCATTCTGGACGGTATCAGAGCAGGCAAAGTGGTAAAACCATAAAGTTATCAGGAACCTAGTGATCTAGCTTCATAAATATTGTAAAAGTAATTTAATATAATTATAAAGTTGTACCGGTCTTCAACTCTCTATTTTTATCATTCTAAGTATACTATTTAATATGACTGATTCCGGCCAGTGGTAATGAGTTCCTACGAAGATTACACTGACTTGAGCATAAAAGTTTGAATGCTCCAACTGAAATGTATTTCATGCTGCTATAAGTGCGGAGTACTTTTTGTGACCTATACTTCAATAAAGAAACCGATTTTAAATAAGGATTTGCGTGAAGAATCAATGATCAATTTTTTGCCCGAAAAACCGTGATTGACCTGTTCTTTTCATAGTGAATTAAGTTGTTAGATGTTCTGTAAATTAAGATAGTCAAGCTGTTGCTCTAACGCTTCCATTCTTACAGGATTATCATTGATGTAAGATAAACAAGCGTAATATTCTAGCTAAATGAAAGTGTTGGTTCCAGTTCCTTTGGCTAATATACCGAATATTGAACCAGTGAAATAACTATGTCTTTTAAGAGTCATTTCACGGAACAGGTTACTTCATATTTCTGCAGATGACTATTTTATTGGTTGATGGTTTTTTTGTTGTTCATCTCACTAGCATTATTGCATTCATTTGATTTACAGTAAAAAACTGTACATTGATTAAGTAACATATTCATTTTCAAAGATTATAGTGATTCATCAAAACAAAGATATAAATAATTTACAGCCAAGGTCAAATGACCATTAGTTTTAGCAGACTTCCACCAATAATAATCAATAATTGATTAAAATGCACATAAATATCATGCATAAATCGTTTCTAATATTGGTGCATTAATTGTTTAATATAAGTTGTCAGTTTATTATATTGTCAATTGATTGATTCATTTAATTTGGACAGGAATTTATGTACTGTTCGAATTATATGATGTTTATCAAATAAATAAGCAAGTCTAATTGATTTTTTTTCTCCAAAAAAAGGAAAGAAAGAAATCATTTATTCCACTTATTAATTCTGTTTGAATCCATTTTGTTAATAAATCCAGAAATGCTCAATTAATGTGCCATTTCCATAGGTAACTATCGTTTTCCAGTATAATTTATCAAATAAAATATTTTGAAACAGTTACTGATGTATTATATATTTCTTATTGTTTTAAAAGGTCGATTATATATTTTAAATATTAGCAACTTACATAAATTCTCAGAAAATGTTCAAAAATGAAGAATATTTGAGTGAACAATTGTTTTCAACAACTTCATCATCAGACTCTACAGTTATAAGTCCATAATTATAATATTTTACAAAGGCCAAAAATAAGGCATGTATTAATGAATTTGACAATGTTACGTGTTAAAAATGGTGCACGTTTGCATCTGTTACGATATAAATATATACTTCTAAATTGTTCGCTCAAATATTCTTCATTTTTGAATATTCTATGGGGATTTTTAAACTGCTGAAAATAAAATATATTAAATACCTGTAAACAGTTAATGTAGGAAGGATAACTGCATAGAGTTATATTGACTTTTATTACATTGTACATATAATAAATGCAGATTTTAATAATAATTACTATACACATGTATAGTCCTTTCATGCAACAAAAAAATCTATTAGGTGAAGTGTGAATATATGCTATTTCGGTCGGTAATTGTATTCTGATGAATCACTTCATTGTTTATATGCATGTCAGTGTGAAATATTTTAGATTATAAAATCAGTACTAATCACCCTGGACTGTTTAGCAGTTTGTTGTTTGTTTTTTATTATAAAAAAAGACCGTACTATCGCTCTGCATCTGTCATTCGAATTGTTTTACACATGAATACACTGATTCATGTGATTTTACAGTTCTTGGTACTGATTTCTGTTAAATGGTTCCGGATATTGACATATTTATACATAAGAGGGTGATTAAGGATGAATACATGTGTATCATGGTGTAGCGAAGATTTCGATAGAGTTAATGAGGTCATAAAATTTTTGTCTCGAATAAATAGAGTTTGAGAGGGAAAGAAAATATGAATTGAAATCAGTCAGTTATGTATGATGTAATTTAAAAGGGTTGGGGTAATGTTCTTTGACACAATCAAAGGTCGACAGGTATCCCTTTCATGTTACCACCAACTGTGTATACAAATTTACATGTATCTGCCAAAGCAGTTACATTGGTAGAACAGAAAGGATAGCCTACGTCCAATTCAAAGAACATATTCCGAAAAGTTTAAGATTAAATGGATTAAAAGCATCCAGCAGTGCCATCGCAAGACATCTCCTTGACACAGGACATGAGGTTGATATACTGAAGTCCTACATGGTGATTAACAAACAATCAAACTCCAACCTTTTGAAAATTGCTGAAGCAATAGCAATCAAACGTTTAAAACCAGATCTATGTATACAAAAAGAGACAGTAATAAATCTTTCTTTACCCTGGTAACAATAACCTCTTTTTTTATTCATTTATTTCTCTATTTATTTATTTATTGTGTCATTACTTCAACTCTTTTAAATTACATCATACATAACTGACTGGTTTCAATTCATATTTTCTTTATTACCATTAATCTATTTTCATGAGGTCTAATCACTATTTCAATGTTCTGGAACTTTCCCTCTCAAACTTTATTTATTGGAGACAAAATTTTATGACCTCATTAACTCGATCGAAATCTTCGCTGCACCATGATACATTTATTCATCCTTAATCACCCTCTTATGTATAAATATGTCAATATCTGTAATAATTTTGAATTTCAAATAATTTAGGTTGTAAGCAGCTGATGAGAACCTAACGAAATAAAATGAATTCATATTATTCTGCACCAATCTTTGTTCTTGCTCTCTTTAAGATAATAAAGGGGACTATGTGTATAAATGGTTCCAAGAGGCATTACAGTATTTTCTAAAATAAAAATACTGAACAAACTATACAGATCTAAATGGTATCAAGTTAGTAACAAAATACACTAACAGTAATTAGGCTAGACGTACCACAAAAGTCCTAGGCAAATTTCATTAATGATTCGGTGGATTTTTCTAACATTAAAGTCTGATATAGACAGTATATTTGTTAGCTGGATAGGGTCCTAACTATTCATGCTAAGATCGAACCCAAGTCGGGATACACTGATTGGTCTATTTCCAACTGTTCGGTGCTAAC